GGGGGGGGGGGGGGGGGGGGTTAGATTGTAAACGGCCTGGTCCTTTCACACAGGGTTGTCCCAGTGCCTCACAAGGGCAGGAGATTCAGCCTCCCAATGACACATTACAGATGGAGAAACTGAGACATGGGTAAAATGAAGTGAGTTATTCAGGATCACACAGGGAATTAGTAGCAGGGCTGGGAGAGGAACCAGGGAGTTGCTGACTTCCAGGTCCCTTGTTCTCACTGATGGCTTCCCCATCAGGGGAGCAGGGAGCCCAGAAGTCCTGGCTCCCAGCTCCTTACTTGTAACCACTAGCGAGCGGGTGTGTGGCATGGACAGGGAGGTGGATCAGAGCAGGCCTAGAGTTGCCCCCATGTGGGGCTCAGCCCAGAGCAGGTGAGTTTAGTTTGAGGGTGCCAGCTACATAGTAGCTGCTCTGGAGCCTCCCCTGCTCACCCCTGGCTGTACTCATGCAGGTAGAGATGGTCCTGCTTTGAGCAGGGGGGTTGGACTGGATGACCTGAGGTCTCTTCCAACCTGCATTTTTTATGATTTCATGATTCTATGTCTTTGTCTTTCCACTTTCTGGACAGAGCTGTCTTGCAACTTCGAGAAGGGCCTAGGTGGCTGGTACCAGGACGAGAATGATGACTTTGAATGGGTGCGAGGCACCGGTCAGGGGCTGGGCTCTGACCACACCACGGGCCATGGTAGGCACAAGCCCTGGGGGCCTCCCCCAGTAGCCACAACAGGTGTGTGACAGGGGGGGCTTGTCCCAGGAACCCCTGGAGTGCAGCAGGGGGGAACTTCTCACCTTCTCCTGCAATTCAATATGACCGGGACCAGAAACAGGTGGTTCTGTCCATGACTGGGCTGTGAGGGCATTTCCTCAGTCCCAGCAGGGAGCAGGCAGGGTCTGCTGTGGTCGAGCTGTACCGGAAGAGCCTGGGTATGTTTGGATCTGAGCCTGGCTGATGTCTCTGGGAGGCAGAGCTTTGTCTGTGCTCCTGTGGGATAAGGACGAGGGGAAGAGCACGCAGCTGTCTGGGAGGCTGGCGCTGGGGCATGCAACTTTCTGCAGCTGCCCTTTCCTGGCCTCCCCACCCTGCCCTTATTGTTGCAGATGCATTTGCTTTGCACAGGGTTTTTCATGGCTATGGATCCTTCTGCTCAGGAGGCCCGAGGCCTCAGTGCCCGTCTCCTCACCTACCTCCTGGATCCGGCTGCTGAAATCCAGTGCTTCTTGTTCTGGTACCGCATGGATGGCCCCCAGATTGGTAGGTGGCATGTGGCATGGCCCCTGGGGGCTGGGACAGACATGTTCTCTATGGGCCCAGGGAGAGAGTAGTTCTTTCCCACCTCATCTCTGAAGGGTGCACCTGACATTCCCAGTATCTGCCCATGAGCTGGTGGCATTGAATTTGACGGACACAGGCCTACAGTGGTGCTACACAGTAGTAACTGCTTGTGGGGTCAGGACTCAGACAGGAGCCAAGGACCAGAGTTGCCTCCTCTGAGAGCTGCTTTTCAGAGAGAACAGTGTTGATGCTGAATAGATCACGCCAGTGCCTGCTGGGAGAGATGCTCCCCATCTGGGGTGTTGTCCATGCTGGACACGTCACCCCAGTGCATGCTGGGAGAGATGCTTCCCCATCTGGGGTGTTGTCCATGCTGTACGTCACCCCAGTGCATGCTGGGAAAGAAGCTGCCCTGCAGTGCATTGGGCTTATTCGAACCCTGGTAGAAGGGGCCCGTTGGGCATTGCAGGGCTCTGTCCCGAACTTCCACAGCTCCTGCCTGCACCCGGACAGCGTTTCCCTCATTGTGGCCCCTTCCCTCCCCAAAGCCCCACAGGGGAAGGCAGACCTGCTGGCACCAGCACAGCGCCTCAGCCCTGCCAGCCTGCAGAGGCTCCTCTCCCAGCTGCTCCAGCAGGCCTCTATTTGGGGGCAGTTCCCCTAGAACAGTCTCCCACGACCTGTGCCTGGGGGCCTGATCCACCACAGATTTCAGCCCTCTAGGCTCCTAGGAGCACAGGCTGCTTGTAGACGTGCTTGTTCCCGTTCTAATTAGATTGATGGAGTCTGGTCCGTGTTCTAATGAGAACGCTCCGGCATCGCCTCACCGCCACATGTATTAAGCCCCCTGCATTTCAAAATGGCGGCAGGAGGGCTTTAACTAAACCTTGTCGAACGAGCTTCAGTTAAAGCGCTCCCACAGCCTTTTTGAAATGCAGCAGGGCTTAATACACGTGATAGTAAGCTGTTTTAATTAGAGTGGCTGTCTGAAAACTGTTCTAATTAAAACGCCCCCTGCTCTCACCCCCAAGCATGCATATAGGTCCCAACCTCTGATGTTCAGCTTGGTCTCTTCCGAGAGTGATCAGCTAAGATCCATGTGGGTCTCTGAGATGCTAAATCCCAGTGCCCATCTGCTCTGCTTGGAGGGCCCTAGTCCTGCTAAGAGTTGGTGTGCGTGTGCTGCCCTGGAGGGACCCCTCCCTTCACCCCAGAGTGGGCTACCTTGCACATGGATGATGGTTTTGGGATCCTTTGGGAGGAGAGTGCTACAGAAGCCCTCCCTGCCCATCTTTGCTGGCTTCATCACTCTTTGGGTCTATCCCAGGCACGTTGAACCTCAAGATAAAGCATGATGGGGAGGCAGAGACAGTGCTCTGGACCAGAACAGGAGCACAGGGCAGTGCCTGGCACCTGGGATCCGTAACGCTCCATCACCAGCCCAAACAGAAATACCAGGTAAGACCCCCAGGCTCTGCTCAGAGCCAGGAGGACTTGAAGCTTGCTGCCTTCTAGGGCTATGCTTTGATCACTAGCCTGGCTAGGGACAGACCTGAGGATGCCTCAATGTCCGTACAGCACTGAGCACATGGCTGGCATTTAAAGAGAAAACCTCTAGGCCCAAGGCACAGAGCCCAGATCCAAATCCCCACAGCACTGTCAGGCCCCCTTGGCCTTGCATCCTCCATCAGACCTTGGGGGTGCTCTCTGGAGCCACTTTGTCCCTCCCTGGGCAGGCCAAGGCAAGTGACATGGTGGTATGGCATAGGCATAGGCTGGTGGGGCTGGTGCTCAGTGCTGTGTTCCTCCTCTCTCCCTTGTAGCTGATTTTCGAGGCTCTCCGTGATGGGTACCTGGGGCACATGGCCCTGGATGACCTCTCAGTGAAGTCTGGCACCTGCAGGGCACAGGAGCACTGCTCGTTCGAGGCAAGTGCTTGTGGCTTCACTGCCAGTGGGGAGCATTCATGGGCAAGACAGAGCAATGCCACCGGCACTGCAGTCACTGGCCCTTCCACCGACCACACCACAGGCACAGCCAGAGGTAATGCAAGCTCCATGAGGCTTCTCTGGGGACATGGGGCAACTCCTCGCGGCCTCAGGGTCTGTGGGGCAGCTGCTGACTCTCTGTAGCAGCCCCATGGGCTTTGGGGATCCTCTGCCCTCGTGGAGCTCTGGACTTTGGGACGCAAAGGCTGCGTTGCATGGAGGTGTGGTGAGGGCAGGGGCTAGAGGACTGCTTTCCCATGTGCCTCTGGGATCAGGCTGCCATGGGAGCTTACATCTGGTTCTCTGGGTTTGGAGTGAGGGTGGAAGCAGCTGTGAGAGTGGTTGGAATGATGCAGCATGGACTGAGCCAGGGTGCAAAGCCCAGTGCTGGATGAGGGATGGGGCAGGGGGCGCAAAGCCATTGCTGCCATTGCCAACATGGCAAGGATGAGCCAGGGTCAGGTGGGGCCTGGCAATCAATGCAGGGTCATTCAGAGTGTCTTGCTGCCTCCCAGCAGCTTTGAATGTCATAGTGCCCACTGGAGGTTTTCAGGGCATCCCCCTGGGGTGCCTACTGCTGCCAGTGCCCATGGAGACCCATTTATTCATTGGATTTTCATCACTTGGGGGAATCATCAGGTCCCCCTTCTTGCCAATGGAGGGGCCCGCAGAGGCGGGATGGGCTGAGTGGTGCCACTGCTGTACCTTGTGCTCAGGAAGCCAAGTGCCCAGGTGTTCCAGTGAGCGACTCCTGCAAAGCTGGTGGGTTTTGTTCTTCCAGGGTACTATATGATCATCAATACAAGCAAGAGCTCCCTGCCCCGTGCAGCCACCCTGGCCTCTGAGCTGTATGTGCCCTTGACTCATACCCAGTGCCTGACCTTCTGGTACCGCCTGAGCACAGACTCAGGTGAGCATGGTAGCCTTGCCTTTGCTTCTCCTCCTCATTCCTGCTGCTGGTCAATGCAGGAACATTGGACAGTTGATGTGGCACAGACATGTGGCTGGGGAGGAAACCTGGCTGAAGCACAGGCCTGAGAGTTGGGACTCCTGGATTCTGTGCACAGTTCTGCCGCAGACCGGCTGGGGGTGCTGGCAGGGCATGACCCTGCCCCTTTCCAGGGGGGGCTGGGGCACCACGTTCTGAGCTGCATGGGTGTCTCCCCCGCTGTGGGGATGGGGCCACAGAAGAGCTACCTGGGAGCCAAATAAAACTCCTTCCCAACGGTGACTGGGCCAGACCAGACTCTGCCTGTTCTCACCAAGGGATGGCTGGAGCTTGCCTTGGCCACTCTGGGCTCTGCTCCAGCATAACTGGCCAGTGGCTTCTGGGAGTGGCCATAGAGACCTGGCATGTGGGTTCCTCCTTATGGTGGAGCCTGCCCATCTCTGAAGCTCTTTGCCTCTGCTGGTCATGCAGCATATCATTATTAGCCCCTGGGTATGGTGATGATAGGCTCAGGCAGGTCCAGTGATAGACCCAAGCTCCATGCAGCAAGTCCAGACTGGAACCCAGGTGTCCCAACTCCAGGAGCCATGCTCTGCCCACTGCCCACGCTGTTTCTCTGGAGGAGAAAGGGTGTTTCATCAATCAGTTAGTGCTATCCCTGCAATGGGCTTATCAGTACCACAGCTCCCTTTGGCCATGGGCAGGAACAGAAGGGCCTCTGGTCACCCTTGAGACATGTCTTCAGCCTCTGGGTCTCATTTAGGTTCCCTGAACATCTACATGGAGGAACAGGGTGCACGGAGGCAGCTGTTCAGTGTGAGCTCAATGCAGGGGGATGCCTGGCACTATGGCAGCGTGGCTGTCCAAGCGGATGGGGCATGGAAGGTGAGACAAGGGGCAAAGGGGTCATCTGTATTGCAGCTCTGGGCCCAGGGGCACTGAAGGCAGCAACCTGCCTGCCTCTGGATGCAGGCTGGGTGGGATGCTGCCATTGTAGAGATCTGAGCTCTGGGACCAGAAAACTGGCCATTTCTGCAGCTGCTTGTTAGAGCAAAGCCACGCCGCACTTTCAGAAGTCTTCTCCACAGGGCAGGGTTGGGACTGGGGCTGGACTGGGCCCTTCTGCCCAGCTGAGAGAGCTGATCCGGGGGCAAAAGTCCTCTGAGCTGTAGCACTATGAGGAGCCTTGGAGCAGGTGTAGCCTAGGCAAGAGGAGATGAAGCTGGTGATACGTTCCCAGGGCATTCTGCCAGGCATTGGTCCAGGAGGGCTGGATCAGAGCACTGTGCTGGAGACTCCTTACAGCTCCCCTGGGAGCCCTGAGTCAATAGTGGGGTTAACATCCCAGTCATCGCAGACTCCATATTGATGACTGGCCTGCTCCCAGGAGACTCCTTGAGGTGGCTCCTGCATGATCCTTTTCCTCTGCATGTCCCGGCAGGTGATATTTGAGGCGGTGGGTGCTGGCAGGGAACAGTCCTACATTGCATTAGATGATCTTCACCTGAAGGATGGTAGCTGCCCGGAACCAGGTATAGCCTTAAACCATGCCTGAGCTCCAGCCTGCCCCAGGCTGAGCATCTGTACTCAGGAGGGTTAGACCAGAAACAGTCAGTTTCTGAGTGGAGAGACTCTGTGCTGCCAGGGCCAGGATGTGACCCATCAGATCTGGGCCATCCCTTTGCAGGGGCAGGATGTCACTTGCCCCTGCCCATGGCAAGAGGCAGCAGATCATAGCTGGGTGGCAAAAGAGGGGTCATGAAACTGCAACCCCTCTCCCTGCGTAAAGTGTTTAATCAGTCCTTGGATGTGACCTCAAATGCTCCAATTCCAGTTGCTGCACTTTTGCTCCTTTTCCCTTTGGCTTGAGCCCAGGGTTACCGTGTGCTGAGCTATATCAGCAAGAGCCCCAAGCACTTGTATCCAAGGAAAGCCAGGTGCGTAGCTGGCCAGGCCAGAGCAGCCTTGGACATCATGGCTCAGCCATCCTGCCTTTCCCAGGCTGTCTTGAAGCTCAGTGTTTCAGACAGCTACTTCCTTAATCTTCTCCAGGGTGTCAGGGCAGTCACAGGAGATGCCCACAGCTGGGGACAGTGACTAGGGCTGTGAGTCTCTGTGCAACCAACTTGGGGCAGGGGATTGAAATGGTACTGCATGCGGTGTGTATTGTATAACCACCATAAAGCATTTGGCATTGGTCGCTGTGAGGGGTAGAGCAGGTCAGGGCAGGTGGGATGGGTTGCTAGGTCTCAGCTCACTGCCTTTGGGTGGAGGTTAACACAGGGGCAAACTCCAGGCATAAATAAATGAGCTGCCCTGTGTGCCCAGGTAGGTCTGGGGCAGCTTTCCTCTGTCCAACAGGAGCCCATCATCCAGGGTTAGGAATGACCCACAAGACTGTGTGGAGGGTCCAGCCCTACAGTCCTGCCTCAGGCAGAAGGGGCCTGGTCCTGCACTCTGTGGGCAGAGGGATTCTGGTGAAGTGCCACCCAGCCATGTGCTGCTGTTGCAGGGGCAGGTGATGTTATTCCTTGGCAGGTTCCTGTGACTTTGAGTTGGACACTTGTGGCTGGAGAACCTCCTCTGACCCCCATCTGCATGGCTTTGCCTGGGGCTGGAAGAGTGGGGCCAGCCCCTCAAAGTACCCAGGCCCCCAGGAGGACCACACGCTGGGCACCAAGGAAGGTGAGAGCATGCCAGGATATCCTGGCCAGGCACATGCAGATGCTGTGTCAATGAGGCTCAGGCTGAGGGTGAAATCACCCTCCAGGAAGCCTGGGGGCCCATGGGAGGGACCTGTCCCTGTCCCTCACCTTAGAGGGGCTGGTGAGTCAGTATATCCCAAACCCCCTCTGGCTTGCACTGATGGCCATGCAGTCTTCCTGGCAGTGGGAAGGGAAGCTGAACGGTGGGGTGGGGTGGGGTGGGGGTCAGGCTCAGAGGGGCCTGGGAGGAGGGGAACTGTTTGATCTGGGCTCAGTCTGACACAGACCAGTCTAGGGGGAGATGGTTATTTGGTTCAGGAATAGGTTTGGGGCCATCAGCAGTCCAGTGACTGCCTGTTGGAGGTGGTTTGCATGGGGTGGCACAGTCTCAGGGGGACGAGGGATCCTGAATGGAGCCATCTTTATCCCTAGAGCAGGCACAGCTCAGGAAGCAGCAGGTCCAGTGTCCCCCACCCTGCTAAGCCACCACCATACTTCACCTCTGCCTGGCTCTCAGGGACCATTGGTGGGGAGGGGGTGTTTGTGGAAGAGGATCTGAGGCTACTGCACTTAGTCTGCCTGTCCAAGAGTTGGTGGGGGTGATGTGTTGGTGGGTAGGCGCTCTCCCAGTGAGGGGGAGCAGTCTGGCCCAGAGGCCTGTTCCTGCCTGTGCTCACCTGCCCCTTTCCTTTGTAGGGCACTACACCTACTTTGATGCCAGTGTGCTGGGCCCCGGGGGGAGCAGGGCCTTGCTGGTGAGCGAGCACCTGCCTGCTACCACGGGTGCCTGCCTCCAGTTCTGGTATCACATGGACTTCCTGGCACATTTCTGTAAGTGGTGCCAGGTGCCCTGAGTGCTGGAGAAAAGGAATGGGGTGCTCTGGAGGGGCCTTGGGCTTGGCAGAAAGAAGGGCACAGGGAGATGAGGGACCCTTTGTTCCTACCCTGCTATAGAACCAGCTGCTCAGGGGCTTATGGTGGGCAGAGACTTCTGGGTAATACTGTCTCTGGCAAGGCAGCTCTGGGTGCCAAGTGCCCAATAGAATTCATCTGTCTCCAGATGGCAAGAGCTAGGGTGGCACTGAGCATGGTGTATCGTCTGGCTTCCACTTCCTCCTCTGTAGGATGGGACTGGCAGGGCATGCTGGGGCTCTCTCTGCCTCATGGTGGTGAGGTGCTGTGGGGGCCCTGAATGGGAGCAGGAAGAGCAAAGACTGAGCTCCCACTGCCCACCTGCATTGATGTCAGATCCCCCCATCTCTGTTCCAGACAGCGGAGAGCTGAGGGTGAAGCTGTACAGCCCGGCAGGGCAGCTAATGGTGTGGAGCACTGGAGGGCACCAGGGGCAAGGCTGGAAGAACAGGATGATCCCCCTGCAGAGCCCTGAGGAGTTCCAGGTAACATCAGGGCAGGCCCCGTCTTCACTGCCCTGTCCAGCACCATGGGAGACTCCCACCCTGCTCTCTCTCTTTGCACAGGGCATTTGCTAACAGGGCAACAGGGAGGCAGATTCAGTGCCCAGGTTGGGAAGGGAAGGTGCCCCTGGCTTGCAACTGGGTGCTGATGTCACTACCCCATCCCCCTTCAATTAGGCCCAGAGCCAGTAGTCCCATTCTTCCTCTCCCCATCCCTTCCTGGGCATACTGCTGCTGCTCCCCTCTGGTGCATGCATGGGGCTCAGGCAGGATCCCCTCTTGCCCTGCAGATTGTCTTTGAAGTGACTAATGGAGCGTGGCCGATCGGAGGGACCATTGCCCTGGATGATGTCAAGTACAGGGATGGGCAGGGTTGTGATTTGGACCAGATGCTCCCAGTGGAAGGTGGGGGCCTAACACCGTAACAGCTTGGAACAACTGTTCTTCTTTCCTTGCAGTAACTGCCCCTGAGCCCAGCCTCACAAGTTCTCAGTCTTAGTGCCTGTCTAATGGGAGGGTGCCTGGGTCTAGAAAGTGAAATGATTCACCCTAGTCTATAACGGGGCTTTGAAGCAGCACTGGGATCAGAGCCCAACCTTCCTGTCAGTCCACACCTTAAGCCCCAGAACACACTTTTTCTGACATTCAACCTCCTGTTGCCTTTCAGTCCTTAAAACAACAGAGCTTTTACACATGCTAGCTCTCTAACACTGCACCTTGTCCACTTCTGGGGAAGGGGAATTGGAGTGCTCTTCCTGCCCTGCATGGGGCAGTCCAACTGGGGAAGATGCGCCATAGTGTGAGAAAGGGTGTGGACAAGGCCAGCGGCAGAGGTGGAAAGCATAAAACTGACTGCTCAGGCCCAGGACAGGCAAGGGCCTGCTCTGTCCTTAATGTTGCTGCTGCAGTCATTTAGAAGCTATTTGCTGACCAACAGCTGAGAAGGAGCCACCTATTGCAGCTTAACCCCATGAAGCCCTGTGCCAGGGCTGGTGCAGGGTCACCATCTCTTAGCATGCTCACCACTTGTTCTTGCTTGCAGACAAGTCTTCTACCAAAAGCGTTTTAGCAGCAGTGGCAGCTGGCAGCATCCTGGCCCTCACGGTCTTGATTGCATTAGCAGTGAGTCTACGCTATTGGCTGAAGAAGAGTGCGTCTGTGAGTAGGACAGAGAACAGCATCACCAGCCCAGGCTTTGACAACATCACTTTCAGCGATGTAAGGACACTGGTTGGGCCATCAGTACTGGGAGAGGGCATATTCAGGGGCTTTTTAAAGGTCTTGGTCAGTTGCTGCCTATTGGAAGGCCACACAGAGAAAAGAGTCTGCGCAGCTAGCCCTAGCAAGGACAGAGACAGCTTGCCAGCTGCCTGCACTGCATTTGCACATAGGTTTACAACCAGTGCATTTGTTTGGTCTTATAGATTCTGGTAAAACGTAGAATCACTTTTGCTTTGAGTTTGCTATTGTTACAAGGCAGCTGATGAGTTTTGTCCTCAGGCAGCAATGCCAGTGAGTCAGCAGCTCCTGACATGCTGGAGGATGGCCCAAGCCCACCAGCCTCTGGCTGGCACTTCGGCTGTAGCCCAACTCTTAGAAATCGGTTATGGACGAAAAGATGGTGGAGCGTACTGGTATCTCTATGTCAGGCCATGCACCACTGGCTGGTACATTAGAGCAGGGGTGTCAAACACATCCGGTGGGCTGAATCTGACCCACAGAACTGGTCATCTGGCTGGATTCCCCCTGGATGTAGTGGGGGAACCTTGCTGCAGCAGCAGCCAAGTACCCAGGTTAGAGCTGTGGTCTGGGTCCCCAGCAGCACAGTGGGATCAAGCTCAGAGCTGCAGCTTGTTTCCATGGCAGCAACCAAGCTCCTGTGATCCTGGGTGGCTTTCAGTGGTGGCATTGGGGCTCCAGTGCTATGCCTCTTGCCTTTGTGTTTGGCTGCTGCTGTGGGAAGCCTTAGTGTTGCTGGGGCTCAAAGGCTGCAGCTCTCGCCTGCTCAACTACCATGCATGAGTGAAAGTAGAAGCCCAGCACTGTGGTTCACGGTCCTAGTAGTATCTAGCTCCCTTCCCTTCCAGTATCTAGCAGGGACCAGCTCCCTTCCCTTCCTTCAGCCCATGGACCTGTCCCACAGAACTCATCTTGCCTGCATGGCCAGATGACTTTGACATCCCTGCTTTCGACCTCCCCTACTTGACCTGGAAGCAGTAAGTCCTTTTCCAGCTAGGTCACAGCTGGGCTAAGTGCAACTAGTTTATATCCCCTTTATTTTTCAGGATAGCATCACTATATCCCATACGGCATAAGGAAGGGGAAGAGATGAACGATTAAGCCAGTACTACCAGCTACTTGCCTGGTCTAGCCTCACACTCCTTTGATTTCCAAGGCTGCTCTTGAACCTGAAGCATTATGCACACTGAATTAAATAGGAGCCACATATACTTGTCTCAGCTGCAGGGAAGTAGACAAGCACTGTATTCTTCCCTGCCTTTTTGAACTGGGGAAGAACATGACAACAATGTTGTCCTGTATAAAGTGGATTTTCTGTAGCACAATGAAGTATTCTGCCAGTGTTGATCAGCGTCTGTTACAGTATTTGCTAATGTGAAGATCAAAATTCCTCTAAACTAAATCAGGACATGCATAAACATCTTATGTTTTTATGGGTGGCTGGATCTATGCAGGTGTGAATACATGTTCATTTCATCTACACAGTTATAATGTGTTTGTTTTGGAGTAAGCTGGGTTATCTGTGTATCAAACTGAGTTCTTGTGCAAAGAAACAGCAGGTATAACATCATGCCAGAGTACCTACCTTGATATTCTCATAAACCAGCTAAGACCATGTGGTCTAGATATAATTGCCTCCAGATGGGCATACAAGACTCCTACCAAAAGCTGGCTGAAAGAATGGCCTAACTAGTTATCCTCTCCCAAGTTGGACACCTAGCTATGGATAGCTCAATTGGTGTCTTACAGAAGTCTGACTCACGTCTACTCTTAGCAAGCTGGAGAGTGGGTCACTAAATTGTGAAGGACAGGACCAAAATTCAAGTAGTGGACAGCAGGTCTGAAATAAGGTAAAAATGAATACAAGTACAGTGCTGTACTTCGGGTATATGCTCTCTCCTCTTCCTAACATCAAAGCAGGGATATTGGGCTAGCAGAAGCACAGCTGAAGAGGATCTAGAAGTTTAGTGGATTGAGGTGTGACACATTTCAGTTACTGTGCAAATGGTCAAATTCCAAATCTAGATTAAGAGTGGGGAGCCAACTTTTTTGGGAAGGGTGTGACAAATTAGCCCCACATCCTCCCTGAATACCACTTTGATCCCCTGCCCAATCTGCAGTGCAGCCTTCTACTTCCTCCCTGATTTGCTGTTTTTTGCCCTATCTGCTACTGTGCTGCCCATCTCTTCCCTGATCGGCTGCATACCACACACAGGCTGCCTGTGCCACGTGCATCACAGATTGGCCACCCTTGGATTTGGAGGAAATTATTTTGCTCTACTTGGCACCAATGATGGCTCAGCTGCAGCTCTGAATCCACAATTACACACCATACCACTTTAAGAAAATGTAATTAAATGGGCAAGGCCAGAACAGTAAGAACTCTGGTTACTTTTCTGAAGGCTCTTTAGTTGAAGGAATGTCTTTTCAAGTCATTGACAGAAAACACCTTTGAGATGCGAACCTTAATTTGTAACTCTGTGAGAGGCTTCCCACGTAACCCTGGATAAGTTGTAAGCCATAAAAAGTACTTAGGCTCAGCATCACCCTGCTTAATCTGTAAATTCTTAGCCCCAGGAGGGAAGTCCACAGCCCTAAGCACGGAGCTTAAACAGTCCAGTGCCTAGAAACTGGATAAACATGCAGCTCACCAAGTGTGTGTATGGGGGGGGTACAAACTAGCCAGGAGGAAAACATCCTACTTTACGCTGCAGCTTGAAAAGGGCTTACCCGAACCTTATTCTGAGACTTAGGTGCTTAAGCTATTGCTTTTGAGGATGGAAGACTGAAACTCACTCTTGTCTCTAGGTACACACACACACACGCACCAGAGTGCTCCAGCCACCAGGCTGACATGGGAGATTTTATTTCAATACTCTTCAACACAACATTTCAACTTCAGATTTCCTTAACCTCCAGATTACAGGCTAGTCTAGCTGGGATAGATACTGTCCACCTTCCTGTCAAGGCATTTCTTTCTTTGCAGCAGAGTATGACAGCAAGATGGAACATAACTCTAGAGTCCACCTATTTTCCTGGTGAAGGCTCCAACATGAAGCTTAGCACCTAGTTCAGGGGGACTACCCATGCATTTTGCATTCAATAGGGGCGACAATAAAAGATTCCAGTCTTTGCTCTGGGGTCTAGAACCTAGGACTCCCATCTCACTGCTCTCAAGTCACCCTTTCACTGTGCTACACAGAGCTGGAATCAGCACTGTCAGGGGACTCGAATCAAGGCTGTTCAGAACAGATCATTGTGGATAGCACCACACTTCACCAATCTCTAGAGCCAAAGAACCCAGGAAGAGTAAGTTACCAGAAGCTGTGAAAGCAGCCATGGGGTCTAGTGGAAAGTGTAACAAGACTAAGTTATATGGCCAGACCTAAAAGGGAGTCAGAAAGGCAAGACCCTCCTCAATGGAAGACTGAAAACAGTACCAATGGGCAGATCCAAGGAGTGGCTATGCCATTCAACTGAAGGGTATCAAACTTTATTATAGAGCTCTTTAAAACAGGCTGGAAGGAACAAAGAGTCATTGTGATGCAGTGACTGGGAGTCACTCATTTCCAATACAGACATGACTAACCCCCACCTCTCCAAAACTGTTACATATATCCCACCCACCCCCAAAGCTGATTCAATTAAATGATCCCACTTCAGACCACCCAAGTGTCTTAACAGTAGCTGCTTCTAAAACACCAAGATGCATATTTTTTTCTGGCGAAGTTAGATGCAGTGTTTTTGGGTTTAGTTCCTCAATCTCTGGAAAGGAGGAAGGAAAAACAAAATCAGGAAAATCGCTTCTTTAAATTTGCCTTTTTACAGCAGGTAGAGATTCTGCAGATTTCCCCCCCAAGCAAGTCTGAAACCCTCTTGTTCAGCTTGGCAATACGAAGAGAGATTCTGGTGGTTAAGGAGAATCAGCCAGACGAGATCAGTCTGAACAAACTGATTTCGAGGCTTTGTTTTCATTTCCCTTTTGGACCAGCTTCGAGTGGTTTTCCAATATCCTTCCCACGTAGCTTAAGCCCTGGAACGAAACAAAAGGAAACAGCTTTCATCAAGAGAACTTGAGTTTTCACTACACACCAAAATAAGATCCGAATTTTTAGCTAGCTAGACATGAATGAATTCAAAGTGCTTGGGGTAACTGACAAAAAAAAAAAGACAAAAACTAAGGAGAAACAAGAATTAAGGCAGAAGTTTATTCGCAAGGCATGATTAGCAGGCAGTTCAAAATTAAAAAACAAATTAATCCTAGTTCAGGTATCTGGGCTAATCCTGTGTGTCCTGGATAATCCTTGCCAGCTATACTACTGGCCAGAGATTGACACTTTGAGGAATTTTTTTATCATCCCATAAGCATCACTCTGCTGCCTAAGCGTAAATAAGTACAGCCATTCCACATAGTATTAGCAGCAAATATAGCCTGCTATTACAATTTTTGAGGGGCAGTTCTCTCACTTGCAGGCTACCAGATTTCAGATTCAGTTTCAGGCCTTGAAACACCCCAGTATGACAGCACTTTCTTGGAGGGTACAAAACAAATCCTAGGCAATGACCCAATCTAAAAAAACCTTTCAGTTCTTGCAAAGGGATGAAAGCTTAGGAGTTTTTGTTTCTGGATCAGCTGGCACTTAGTTTTAAACAGCAGATGCACCTTGAGAAACCACACAGGATACTCCATGAAACAGCAGTGGCTTAGAATCTAGAGTATGACACCCCTGGAGCTACAGTCCTAAAATACTAACTGTTATCCTATAGAGTGTCAGTTTGTTACATGAGAAGCAGCTAACTGTACATGCCCATTAAGGGAAACGATCCTTCCCAGCAACTGCGAATAGTTTAGATATCTTGAGAGTCTGTACGTAACACTTACCGATGGCCCTTTCGATCTTGCCCATAACCTGATTATTGGGGATTGCTCTTCCAGATTCGTAGTCAGCAATAACTTGTGGCTTTTCATTGATTTTCTAAAGAGAAGATGTGCTTTAAACACATCAGTTCAATACACAGTAAACACTCAGAAGCACAACCCCAAGCCACCCCATACAAACACTACTGACAAGATTATCTCAGAAGTACAAAAGCCTTATGTGACCACAAACTAGTGCAGACCAAAAGTATGACAGGAACACCGTTGTTCAGTAGCTCAGACAGAGATAAGACAAAGCCCTAAATCTGCAATTACTAGGTCAGGGCTCATTTGCTTTGACAGAGTAAGAAACATTAAATACCCACCCGCTTGCCATATTTGTGCTCACAGTCAGTAAAGAATATTCACAAGTTCTAAACAGAGTCCACAGGTCCATCATCTCAGCTGCTAATTAAACTACTGCATTAGGCTCAAAACTTCCCATCTCCTCTCCAGCTGATGCAGTGAGATAGGAGACAAGCAGCTGGGTTCACACTGCTTAAGAGTGCCACGTGTTCACACACAGACCAGGGCTGGGGAGAAGCAGGAGTAAAGGATAGAGGAAATCAATTAATACTTACTGTGGCCAAATCCTTTTGGGTCATGCCCTTGCTCTGTCGACCCTGCTGGATGACTTTGCCTACCTCAAGGGAAACTCTGTCATGGTGCAACTCTTCTGTCTCTCGGTCCAGCTTGGCTGTATTCTTAGTGATAAAATGCTGTTTGTTTTGCCCTGCTGCCCCTGCCATTCAAAACAAGAACAATGACAAGGTAGGCTTCAGAACTGTACTGATAGGATGAGTACTTTCTAAGTCTCAGCTCCTCCAAAATTTGGAAAACTTTCAGGATTTAATATCCCAATTGTTGAAGTGCCCATTGAACTGAAATCAAGTCCCTCTGCTTTCTTTGAGTGAAACAGCCAAAGAAATGCATGCATCATTGTCCTGCTCTTGCACATTTCTAAGCATATAATGGAAGGTTGTTTAGAATGGTTTACATCCTCTCGGCAGTTTACCTCCCATACTTCAACCCCTAAGGCACTTCAAACATTCAAGGCATACAGGTTTTAAAAAGGTGATTTGCAAAGTATTTAACTACCGAATTTGTACACACTTATCTTATTTACAAGTCACAACAAAAGCCTGAGAAGGCTGGTTTCTGTTGTTCTAAATACAAGTCAACTGTAAAAGCTCTACAGATTTTGCTGGTAGTATTGACAGTCTATTTACCTTACTGACAGGGCAAGCATGTTAAAAGTGAAAAGCTTCCCTTACTCAAAGTGTTTGCTATTGACATTAAGGTCAGTGTTTGTCAGATAAATCTATGGAGGCATCAACATTCCAAATAAGAAGAGTGACATCAAAAGGAAGAGGTAAAAGCGTGGAGGGAAGTGGATGCTTAAGTTTCCAATTATCATAGACTATCCCAGACCTTATTTTCTCAATATAAGAACACATGCAGAAAGAGACCTTGAAAAACCCACAACTCAAGAGCCCCATATTTTCTCCACTGCATGTTGCCATCAACAGACAAAACACCACATTGAAATCTTAAAGTTATCAGCAGTTTCCTTGTGCACAGAATAGTTTTGCAGACAATACAGTGCTTTGGCACTCTACAAGGCACCATCTTCCCCAGCGCTCAGCTTTGCCTCTGCAATAGAGGCTGGTCAAAGTTTCAAGTGAGAGTAATTTGATCATTTGTAATTCAAAAACAGTTATACTAGGTTTTCTTCATGACGCTCAAAAAGTATCTTTACTTTTTATAAGAAGCCTGGCAATTAACAAGTATAGTCTATCCAAAAACTGGTTTGGAAAAGATGAAAATAGGCTGTGTAGGTGAGTAGGAGGCACTGACACGGGATTAAATACCATTCTGTACACAAAAAGTTGGCTGCAACAAATTATGAAGCTACGACCACTGTTCAGCAGATTGTCTGCATCAGGACAAGCTTAATAACTCAAGCTTCCTAAGCAGCGACAATTATAAGAGTCAATATTCACCAAAGCTTGCAAAGAACTTTCCAGTTGGTCTAATAAAAGATATCACATCTACCCAGAAAACTTTGTCTATTCAGCAAAGTGTGTTTTGTTTCAATGCAACAAGGAGAAAGAAAAATTACCATGGTTAGTTCTACTAGTAAGCATACTTTCACCAGGACTTCTGTAAGATTTCCTGTCTTATTTTGTTCCATGGCTCAGTTAGATCCTGAAACATTAGCCCCAATGAAATGAGATGTGGGCAAGTTCTGCCTGTTGAACAATGATTTTTAGAGCAAAAAAGTAATCATATCATACTGAAGGCAGCATGCTTATTTATTATCCTGAAATTAGGTGAAAGCACATAACTGCTACTTCCTAGACAGAAATACATACATTTCTTGGAGGTTTCCACATCTTCTCCTCTTCTCTGAGCTGCTAAGACTGCCTGGAAAGAAGAAAATTTAACTTAATCAAAATTCGCTGCACCACCATAAAGATATAGGCTTCTGTTTAAACAACTGGTGGATGACTCTTACTATTGGAAAGTAATCAATCTTTGTTATATAGCCAAGCTGCTAACATACAAATACTCCACAAGCATGTATCCAGGCAACCCACAATAATACAGCTACCAAGGGAGAAGGAAGAAAGTAGCTTACTTTGACAGTTGGAAAAAAGATTTATTAGGTTCAGTGGGAAAACCCTCCTCATTATTTAGACATTTTGGATATACTGGAGAAAGACTGGAGACTGTGTGGGTGTGAACGTCTCTTCACCTAGATTTTGAGGCAGGACAGGTAGAACAAAATGCTTCCGTGAATGATAAGTCAGTAGATCTATAGCTACAAAAATGAGTCAAACCTCACATAATCAGATTGTTTTTTCCTTTGGGCTCATCTAGTCATTCTGTCTAGTTAAAGAATAACTGCTTGTTGTCAAGCACTAATCTTGCTCGGAATGACAAGTGCATAGGAGCAGGGGTGAAGGTTGTAGCCATGTTGGTCTAAGGACGTAGGCAGACAAGGTTCATTGGGTAAATCCAACAACTTTTATTAGACCAACTCAGGTGGGAGTGCTCTCTTTGCTCTCCCAACTTTAGCTAGCAGTTGGACTATTTAGATGCAAGACATCAGTTTGCTCCAAGGCAGAGTTTCTCAGAGCATGGCCAGCGGACCACCGCTGGTCCACAAGCTCCATTTGAGTGATCCGCAGAAAGGTTGTGGGATAATCGAGAACATCTGTACTTGCAAGCTGACACTACTAATATTAAGACAGGAGCGGTGTGCTTCGATCAACGTGCCCTCTAAGCTGTGTGGCCGTGCCTGGCAGCGCAGCATGAGCGTGCCCACATGGCCGCGCAGCTTAGAGCAAACGCTGGCTTCCATTTGTACAACAAAAAAAGTTTATTCAGTGGTTTGCTGAGACCCTCAGCAATTTTCAAGTGGTCTGTGAGAAAAAAAAAGTTTGAGAACCACTGCTCTAAGGTATTAGGGCAGATTTGGTTATTTTTTTAAGTAATCTATTATCTGGTTAACCCGCTCCCTGGTCAACTTATTTTCTGACTATTTCTTTACGTAACCTACAAACCAAAACATAGCGAGCACTGGTGACTCAAACCAAACACAAGTTAAATAACCAGCCAGGCCTACTTCTCTTTACTGATGCCAAAACAAAAACAAACAAAAAACCCTGCTCGTTTCAAGCTGGTACTTGAATCATTAGTGAGGAGCAGTGAGAAAGATCAGCAAGAGGGCACTGAACTTTCTCGTGCGTTTCACCACACGCACAGGACGAAAGTGACATGGGGGGGCTAAAAAAAAAACAAGCTAACACAGGCGGGCCTGCTGCAAAACGGTATGATTTGGGCTCCAGCCCAGCAGGTTGCATCAGCCAGCTTCTTCAGTGGCCCGGGGTTTTCAAAACCACCGGCCACTCTTCAAGTCAAACGGATCCCTACTGAAAAGAGCAGAGTCCTGCAAAAAACATAAGAGCAGGGAGGGCTCCAGCACGAGCACGTCCACGTCCTCTCGAGTCCGCCTGACTCCAGCGGGAACCACGGGAGCCCGGGGCCTGTCGCGGGCAGCAGAGGAGCTGCGTGAGTCAGCAGCAGCGCGCGAGGGACGGCGCCGGGGGGGGGGGGCGCTGTTGGGGGGCCGTTGGAACGG